GAAACTGAAAATTATAAAAGTCGAGAAATGAGGAAATCAAAAAAAGAAAAATCTTAAATGTTGAGAAATCGAAAAATTGCAAATTTAGAAACGCCAAAAGTTTAAAAATTGAAAAATCGAAATATTGAAGAATCAAAAAGTTGAAAAATTGTAAAACTGATATATCGGAAAATTCCAAAATAGTGGAAAAAAATTAAAGAATCGAAAAATTGAAAACCCCACTGAAACATTAAAAAACTGAAAAATGGAAAACTTGAAAAACTGAAAAATCTAGAAGTTGAAAACTGGAGAAATGGGAAAATCAAAAATCGAGAAATTGATGGACCAAACAACTGAAAAATAATCGAAAAATCAAAAACCACAAAAGTCCAAAAATTGAAAAAACAGAAAAACCGAGAAATCAAGAAGTCGTAAACCTCAGAAATGAGAAAATTGCAAAGCTGAGAAATGGAAAAGTTGAAAAATTGAAAAATCGACAAGACTTGAGAAATGGAAAAATCAAAAATCGAGAAAGTGATAAATAAAAATGGAAAATAATGGAGAAATCGAAGTCAAAAATTGAAAAAACTGAAAAATCGAGAAATCAAGAAGTGGAAAACTCGAGAATTGGGAAAACTAACAAATCGAAATATCTAAAAGTCGAAAAATCAAAAAACTGAAAAATTGTAAAACTAAAATAACGGAAAATTGAAAAATCGAAAAATCGAGAAACTGAAAATTTTAAAAGTCGAGAAATGAGGAAATCAAAAAAAGAAAAATCTTAAAAGTTGAGAAATCGAAAAATTGCAAATTTAGAAACGCCAAAAGTTTAAAAATTGAAAAATCGAAATATTGAAGAATCAAAAAGTTGAAAAATTGTAAAACTGAAATATCGGATAATTCCAAAATTGAGGAAAAAAATTAAAGAATCGAAAAATTGAAAACCCCACTGAAACATTAAAAAACTGAAAAATGGAAAACTTGAAAAACTGAAAAATCGAGAAGTCGGAAACTGGAGAAATGGGAAAATCAAAAATCGAGAAATTGATAGATCAAACAACTGAAAAATAATCGAAAAATCAAAAACCACAAAAATCCAAAAATTGAAAAAACAGAAAAACCGAGAAATCAAGAAGTCGAAAACCTCAGAAATGAGAAAATTGAAAAGCTGAGAAATTGAAAAATTGAAAAATCGACAAGACTTGAGAAATGGGAAAATCAAAAATCGAGAAAGTGATATAATTAAAAGTGATGAAAAATAATGGAGAAATCGAAGTCAAAATTTGAAAAAACTGATAAATCGAGAAATCAAGAAGTGGAAAACTCGAGGATTGGGAAAACTAACAAATCGAAATATCTAAAAGCCGAAAAATCAAAAAATTGCAAAATCGTGAAACTGAAATAACGGAAAATTGAGAAATCGAAAAATCGAGAAACTGAAAATTATAAAAGTCGAGAAATGAGGAAATCAAAAAATAGAAAAATCTTAAAAGTTGAGAAATCGAAAAATTGCAAATTTAGGAACGCCAAAAGTTTAAAAATTGAAAAATCGAAATATTGAAGAATCAAAAAGTTGAAAAATTGTAAAACTGAAATATCGGAAAATTGGTCGAAAATGGGTTAAAATTGACAAATTTTGTTTTTACTCGGTTTGAAATACAAATTTTTTTCAACCTCTTGTCGCGAAAAGAAAACTACGTGTATTAAGAAAAAAAGGCAAAATATAAACCCCGCCCACCCACCCTCGTCTCATTTCTGGTGATTTTTTCTTATTCATCGTGAGTCGGGGGGCGGAGCTTAATAGCAAAATCTTTATTTTTCTACAAGAAATTACTCTCCTTAAGTAAATCGTGTAAGATTTCAGTTGTGGTGATTTTATTTTCCTAAAATATGATAATACTTAAACCACGTTTTCGTAATTTCTTTTACACAAATATGAACTTTGCATTTAAGCTCCGCCCTCGGCTTGACAACGAATGAAAAATTCATCACAACTGAGTTTTGGGGGGATGGGTGGGATTTAAGCTTTGCTTTTTTTTCTTTCAACAACACCATACTTTAAAACATGTAAGAATTTTGCAATTAAGTTTCGCTCCTTTACGACGATTTAAAAAATATCATCACAATTGGTGGCGAGTGGGCGGGGCTTATATTTTGCTTTTTTTCTGAATAAGCACTGCAAGATACATACTTAAAACATGTTTAAAATGGTAAGTTTTTGTCGAGAAACATCGATTTTGCAATTAAGCTCCACCCCTCGGTCTGACAACAAATGAAAAATTTGTCACGATTGCGGTTGGGGCGGGTGGGCGGGGTTAATATTGTCCCTTTTTCTTCCTTAATGTAAGTAGGTTTTACTTTCACGACAGAAACTGAGAACTTGTAATAAATTAAAAAAGAAAGAGTAAGCCCCACCCACCCACCCGCATGTCGATTGTGATTATTTTCTCATTAGTTGTCAAACCGAGGGGCGGAGCAAAAGTGCAAGTTGCTCATTTCTGTGCAGGAATTACTAATAAATACTAAAGCATGTTTTAAGTACTATCATATTGTTAAATAGACTATTTTGAGAAAAAAGCGGGTGAATCCTTCCATCGTGATAACCCAAACATCCCGCCTTAAATTGACAAGTTGAGAAATCGAAAAATCGCAAATTTTAATGGTCAAAAATTGAAAAATTTAATAAAAAAGTTGAAAAATTGTAACACTGAAATATCGGAAAGTTGAAAAATCGAGACACTGAAAAGTCGAAAAATCGTCAAGTCAAAAAATTTAAAACCTGAAAAATCGAAAAATTATAAAATCCCAAATCTGAAATATCGAAAAATAGATACATCCAAAAACCGAAAAATAGCAAAATCAAAAGAAAAATTAAAAAATCGAAAAAATGAAAAAACTGAAAAATCGAGAAATCAAGAACTGGAAAACTCGAGAATTGGGAAAACTAACAAATCGAAATATCTAAAAGTCGAAAAATCAAAAAACTGATAAATCGTAAAACTAAAATAACGGAAAATTTAGAAATCGAAAAATCGAGAAACTGAAAATTTTAAAAGTCGAGAAATGAGGAAATCAAAAAATAGAATAATCTTAAAAGTTGACAAATCGAAAAATTGCAAATTTAGAAACGTCAAAAGTTTAAAAATTGAAAAATCGAAATATTGAAGAATCAAAAATTTGAAAAATTGTAAAACTGAAATATCGGAAAATTCCAAAATAGAGGAAAAAAATTAAAGAATCGAAAAATTGAAAACCCCACTGAAACATTAAAAAACTGAAAAATGGAAAACTTGAAAACTGAAAAATCGAGAAGTCGAAAACTGGAGAAATGGGAAAATCAAAAATAGAGAAATTGATAGATCAAACAACTGAAAAATAATCGAAAAATCAAAAACCACAAAAATCCAAAAATTGAAAAAACAGAAAAACCGAGAAATCAAGAAATCGAAAACCTCAGAAATGAGAAAATTGAAAAGCTGAGAAATTGAAAAGTTGAAAAATTGAAAAATCGACAAGACTTGAGAAATGGGAAAATCAAAAATCGAGAAAGTGATAAATGAAACTGGAAAATAATGGAGAAATCGAAGTCAAAAATTGAAAAAACTGAAAAAAAGGAGAAATCAAGAAGTGGAAAACTCGAGAATTGGGAAAACTAACAAATCGAAAAATCTAAAAGTCGAAAAATCAAAAAACTGAAACATCGTAAAACTAAAATAACGGAAAATTGAGAAATTGAAAAATCGAGAAACTGAAAATTTTAAAAGTCGAGAAATGAGGAAATCAAAAAATAGAAAAATTTTAAAAGTTGAGAAATCGAAAAATTGCAAATTTAGGAACGCCAAAAATTTAAAAATTGAAAAATCGAAATATTGAAGAATCAAAAATTTGAAAAATTGTAAAACTGAAATATCGGAAAATTCCAAAATAGAGGAAAAAAATTAAAGAATCGAAAAATTGAAAACCCCACTGAAACATTAAAAAACTGAAAAATGGAAAACTTGAAAACTGAAAAATCGAGAAGTCGAAAACTGGAGAAATGGGAAAATCAAAAATAGAGAAATTGATAGATCAAACAACTGAAAAATAATCGAAAAATCAAAAACCACAAAAATCCAAAAATTGAAAAAACAGAAAAACCGAGAAATCAAGAAGTCGAAAACCTCAGAAATGAGAAAATTGAAAAGCTGAGAAATTGAAAAGTTGAAAAACTAAAAAATCGACAAGACTTGAGAAATGGAAAAATCAAAAATCGAGAAAGTGATAAATGAAACTGGAAAATAATGGAGAAATCGAAGTCAAAAATTGAAAAAACTGAAAAATCGAGAAATCAAGAAGTGGAAAACTCGAGAATTGGGAAAACTAACAAATCGAAAAATCTAAAAGTCGAAAAATCAAAAAATTGCAAAATCGTGAAACTGAAATAACGGAAAATTGAGAAATCGAAAAATCGAGAAACTGAAAATTGTAAAAGTCGAGAAATGAGGAAATCAAAAACAGAAAAATCTTAAAAGTTGAGAAATCGAAAAATTGCAAATTTAGAAACGCCAAAAGTTTAAAAATTGAAAAATCGAAATATTGAAGAATTATTATCCCATAATCCACTGAATTTTTCTTCCTTCTCTTTTTTATTACATTCCCGATTTATATTTGCGTCGTTGGCCAGAGAGCACATCAATTAGTACGCTCCTTGTTGACTTTGTGAACAAATATTAGATCAGTTTGTCATCAGCACAAAACTGCTAAATCAAATAATTCCACGAATCTCTCGTTTCATTGTTTTTTGCACTAAAATGGGACGAATAATAATTAAATACCGTTATTTTCGTCGTTTTTTTTAAGTTTCTTATGGAGCTGTAAATCGAAGCATAATTAAATCTTCACCATCAAATGCGACTTTGGTTGATTTATAATTAAAATTTAACGTAAAATCAACACTTCATCCAAACAAAACAAACAATTAATTAGAGATGACGAAAAAACTTCTCAATTATAAAAAAGGAGACAAAAAAAAAACACACCACTTTGATTTATCATTTATTATAAAACTTATGAATGGAAGCATGTATACAACGATATCATTTGAATAAAAACCATGAACATAAAAAAATAAACAAAGTAAGTACTTGTAGGCCTTTTAAAGCATCTATTCTATCACTCATTGACTTGCACGTAGTTGGCTGGGAATAACCCATACTTTCCTTTGCACAAGCCCCTCCACCACCCTTCGTCGATCTGCAACAAACCCATTAACCTCAAAAAACCCACAATCCACAAACCCACTTTTTCAATATGGGTGATTACGTCATCCGGGTCGAACGATATCTCATCATCAGCAGCCGCCTGATAATCATAGAGAGCTATAGCGGAAATACCCGTATCCACGATCTCCTCCGCAGTGTAGTAATTCTCCACCACCTCCTCCTCACTGGGAGAAGTTTGCTCCACACTACTCTGAGTCGCATTCGCCACATTCTCGTAAATTTCCTCCTCCTCTTCTTCGTGTTGCTTCAACTGTTGGATTTCCTTCAGCTGCTGGATTTCTTCATTGATCTGTTAAAAAATTTTTATTTTGGTTACAATACTTTTACTACGTTTAACAACTAAACAACGCATTCATTATCATAAATGTATTTGTTTTTAATCTGGTTATTACAAAAATACGAAATTGGCCACTTCCCGGCGTTGCACTAATTTATGACTTGCAGCTAGGCAGTCACTTGCACAAAGAGCTGCCGCCTGAGTTTTGTTTTATCGTTTCTCATTCTTATTTTGCTTTTTATCGTTCAATAAAGTATATCGCAGTTTTAAAATTACTGCATTGCATTCATATTTTTTTCGGTTTGCTCATACAGAAATTTGTTTGTTTTTTTTATCCGCAAAATAAAATTTGTCGAAAATGCTGGATATGTTTCATTGTTTTTCAGGAGCGAGAGAAGTTCTCCCGAAGCAACTTTCGACCAATTTTTTTTTTAATTCGGGAGACTCTTGGGTACCTATGATGTATTATTTTGGGAGCAAATGGAGATTTTTTTGTAAATTATTTAAAATCATTTTGGGGGACTTCGGTGTTCTGATTTTGGAAAATTCGCCGACCCACACTCTCTTTTCTTAATTATCAAAATCAGTTTTACCTTAGCACGTACTAGCCCCGCCCACCCGCCCTGTTTTCTTAGAAAGGTTTGTGATTTGCCAAAATCAACTCTACCATAGCAGGTATTAGCCCCGCCCACCCACCCTCTCTTTTCTTAGGGTATATCTCATTTGCCAAAATCACTCTTATCTTAGCAGGCACTAGTCCCGCCCACCCACCCTCTCTTTTCTTAGGGGGTATGTCATTGGCCAAAAAATATCTCTATTTTTTGACTCCTCGCTTTTAGATTTTTCGGTTTCTAATATTTTTGGATTGGATTTTTAAATATTTCGTTTTTTAAATTCTTCGATTTTTTCAATTTTCCGAAGTTTCAGATTTACGATTTTACAATTATTCATCTATTTTTCCATTTTTCGATTTTACGATTTTTCAATTTCAAAATTTTTCCATGATTCAGTTTTAGGATTTTTCTTCAATTTTTCGATTTCTCGATTTTTTTGACTTCTCGGTTTTAGATTTTTCGGTTTATTTTTGGATTGGATTTTTTAATTTTTTTTTTTATTAAATTTTTCCTCTATTTTTTCATTTTTCGATTTCTGGATTTTTCAATTTCTAATTTTAGTATTTTTCTTCAATGTTTCGATTTTTCAATTTCTTGTTTTTTTATTTTTCGGGTTAAATTTTAGATTTTTCGATTTCTCGATTTTTTGACCTCTCGGTTTTAGATTTTTCGGTTTCTACTATTTTTGGATTTTTACATTTTTTGGTTTTTAAATTTTTCGATGTTTTCAATTTTCCGATGTTTCACATTTACGATTTTTCAATTTTTCCACTATTTTTCCATTTTTCGATTTCTGGATTTTTCAATTTCTAATTTTTTCCATGTGTCAGTTTTAGGATTTTTCTTCAGTTTTTCGATTCTTCACTTTTTTTTTTACATTTTGTAATATTTTGATATTTCGGTTTTGGCATTTTTCGATTCTTCAATACCTTGTTTTTTTATTTTTTTGGGTTAAATTTTAGATTTTTCGATTTCTCGATTTTTTGACTTCTCGGTTTTAGATTTTTCAGTATCTACTATTTTTGGATTGGATTTTTAAATATTTTGGTTTTTAAATTTTTCGATTTTTTCAATTTTCCGAAGTTTCAGATTTACGATTTTTCAATTTTTCTTCTATATTTCCATTTTTCGATTTCTGGATTTTTCAATTTCTAATTTTTTCCATGTCAGTTTTAGGATTTTTCTTCAATTTTTCGATTCTTCACTTTTTCTTACATTTTTTAATATTTTGATATTTCCGTTTTGGCATTTTTCGATTTCTCGACTTTTTGACTTCTCGGTTTTAGATTTTTCGGTTTCCACTATTTTTGGATTCGATTTTTAATTTTTTTGGTTTTTAAATTTTTCGATTTTTTCAATTTTCCGAAGTTTCAGATTTACGATTTTTCAATTTTTCCTCTATTTTTCCGTTTTTCGATTTCTGGATTTTTCAATTTCTAATTTTTTCCATGTGTCAGTGTTATGATTTATCTTCAATTTTTCGATTCTTCACTTTTTCTTGCATTTTTTAATATTTTGATATTTCCGTTTAGGCATTTTTCGATTCTTCTATTTCTTGTTTTTTTTATTTTTTCGAGTTAAATTTTAGATTTTTCGATTTCTCGATTTTTTGACTTCTCGGTTTTAGATTTTTCGGTATCAACTATTTTTGGATTGGATTTTTAAATTTTTTGTTTTTTAAATTTTATCGATTTTTTCAATTTTCCGAAGTTTCAGATTTACGATTTTCAATTTTTCCTCTATTTTTCCATTTTTCGATTTCTGGATTTTTCAATTTCTAATTTTTACCATGTGTCAGTTTTAGGATTTTTCTTCAATTTTTCGATTCTTCACTTTTTCTTACATTTTTTAATATTTTGATATTTCCGTTTTGGCATTTTTCGAATTCTCGACTTTTCGACTTCTCGGTTTTAGATTTTTAGGTTTCCACTATTTTTGGATTGGATTTTTAAATTTTTTGTTTTTTAAATTTTTCGATTTTTTCAATTTTCCGAAGTTTCAGATTTACGATTTTTCAATTTTTACTCTATTTTTCCATTTTTCGATTTCTGGATTTTTCAGTTTCTAATTTTTTCCATGTGTCAGTGTTATGATTTTTCTTCAATTTTTCGATTCTTCACTTTTTCTTGCATTTTTTAATATTTTGATATTTCCGATTCTTCTATTTCTTGTTTTTTTTATTTTTTCGAGTTAAATTTTAGATTTTTCGATTTCTCGATTTTTTGACTTTTCGGTTTTAGATTTTTCAGTATCTACTATTTTTGGATCGGATCTTTAAATATTTCGTTTTTTAAATTTTTTTCAATTTTTCGAAGTGTCAGATTTACGATTTTTCAATTTTTCCTCTATTTTTCCATTTTTCAAATTCTGGATTATTCAATTTCTAATTTTTTCCATGTGTCAGTTTTCGGATTTTTCTTCAATTTTTCGATTCTTCAATTTCTTGTTTTTTTTTTATTTTTTCGGGTTAAATTTTAGATTTTTCGGTTTCTACTATTTTTGGATTTTTAAATTGTTTGGTTTTTAGATTTTTAGATTTTTTCAATTTTCCGAACCTTCAAATTTATGATTTTTAAATTTTTCCTCTATTTTTCATTTTTCGATTTCTGGATTTTTCAATTTCTAATTTTTTCCATGTGTCAGTTTTAGGATGTTTCTTCAATTTTTTTATTCTTCACTTTTTCTTAGATTTTTTAATATTTTGATATTTCCGTTTTGGCATTTTTCGATTCTTCTATTTCTTGTTTTCTTATTTTTTCGGGTCAAATTTTAGATTTTTCAATTTCGCGATTTTTTGACTTCTCGGTTTTAGATTTTTCGGTATCAACTATTTTTGGATTGGATTTTGAAATTTTTGGTTTTTAAATTTTTCAATTTAAAGTTTTTAAGTTTCAGATTTACGATTTTTCAAATTTTCATCTATTTTTCCATTTTTCGATTTCTCTACTTTACAACTTCTCAGTTGTAGATTTTTTGGTTTTTCATTTTCGATTTTAGCATATTTCACTTCTCTGATTTTTTAAATTTTTTGATGTTTCCATTTTTTGTCATTTCAGTTTGGGAATTTTTCCGTTTCTCGTTTTTTCAGTTATTCGATTCTTTAATTTTTGGATTTTTCAATTTTTTAACGTCTCAAAATTTTCAATTTTTGGATTTCTCAGTTTCTTGTTTAATCGAGTTTTTGGTTTTTCTATTTCTCATTTCCTCGACTTTTTAATATTTTGATTTTTCAGTTCTTCAATTCTTTTCGATTTTTGAAGTTGATTTTTAAATTTTTTGTTTTTTAAATTTTTCGATTTTTCAATTTTCCGAAGTTTCAGATTTACGATTTTTCAAATTTTCATCTATTTTCCATTTTTCGATTTTTCTACTTTACAACTTCCCAGTTGTAGATTTTTGGTTTTTCATTTTCGATTTTAGCATATTTCACTTCTCTGATTTTTTAAATTTTTGATGTTTCGATTTATAGTCATTTCAGTTTGGGAATTTTTCCGTTTCTCGTTTTTTCAGTTATTCGATTCTTTAGTTTTTCGATTTTTCAATTTTTTAACGTCTCGAAATTTTCAATTTTTGGATTTCTCAATTTCTTGATTAATCGAGTTTTTAGTTTTCCTATTTCTCATTTCCTCTACTTCTTAATATTTTGATTTTTCAGTTCTTCAATTCTTTTCGATTTTTGAGGTTGATTTTTAAATTTTTTGTTTTTAAAATTTTTCGATTTTTCAATTTTCCGAAGTTTCAGATTTACGATTTTTTCAAATTTTCATCTATTTTTCCATTTTTCGATTTCTCTACTTTACAACTTCTCAGTTGTAGATTTTTTGGTTTTTCATTTTCGATTTTAGCATATTTTACTTCTCTGATTTTTTAAATTTTTTGATGTTTCGATTTTTAGTCATTTCAGTTTGGGAATTTTTCCGTTTCTCGTTTATTCAGTTATTCGATTCTTTAATTTTTCGATTTTTCAATTTTTTAACGTCTCAAAATTTTCAATTTTTGGATTTCTCAATTTCTTGATTAATCGAGTTTTTGGTTTTCCTATTTTTCATTTCCTCGACTTTTTAAAATTTAGATTTTTCAGTTCAATTCTTTTCGATTATTGAGGTTGATTTTGAAATTTTTTGGTTTTTAAATTTTTCCTCTATTTTACCATTTTTCGAATTCTGGATTTTTCAATTTCTAATTTTTTCCATGTGTCACTTTTAGGATTTTTCTTCAATTTTTTGATTCTTCACTTTTTCTTACGTTTTTTAATATTTTGATATTTCCGTTTTGGCATTTTTCGATTCTTCAATTTCTTGTTTTTTTATTTTTTCGGGTTAAATTTTAGATTTTTTGATTTCTCGATTTTTTGACTTCTCGGTTTTAGATTTTTCGGTATCTACTATTTTTGAATGG